GGAGCCCTGGCCCAGGCTGCCCAGGGAGGCTGTGGAGTCTCCTTCTCTGGAGATATTCCAGCCCTGCCTGGACGCGGTGCTGTGCAGCCTGCTCGGGGTGACCCTGCTTGGGCAGGGGGTTGGGCTGGGTGACCACAGAGGGCCCTTCCAACCCCGAACATTCTGTGATTCTGTGATTCTGTGTCACGGGTGGCAGGGCAGCAGAGCTTTGCCATCCCTCGCTGCCATCCACCTTGCCCTAGGCAGCCACGATGCGACACTGTGCAGGTGGCCGTGCGTGGGGGATTCCTCCGAGCTTGTGGGTCTCGCCACCGCAGACCATCGTGCTCATCTGCATGATGAGGCTAATTGCTCGGTGCAGCTCCTTGCCTCCTCCGAGGGAGGATCAGAGGAGCCGCGTGAGGAGACCGAGCTCAGTCCCTGCCGCCTCTCCCTGAGGAAATCCGAGATGCTGCGACGTGGCGAGAAATCCCTTTGCCCTTCCCGGCGAGTGGCGTTTCCCAGCTGCTCAGGTGCCGGCCGGGATCTTCGCATTCCTCTGCCCCACTGCCGCTCAGACTCGGCGAGGCCGCATCCTGCACCGAGCGCCTGGCCAGCGTGTCGGGGTTCAGTCCCCGGCTCCAGTGGGATCAGCTCAGTGTCCCTTCGCCTTCCTCCCACCGCCCCCTACCCCCTGCTGTAAAAATCCCAGCTCTCTTGCAGCCGCGCTCCCTGGGCTTGAGCAGGCAGGAGAGAGGCAAGGGTTTGCCGGATGTTGTTTTGGGAAGGGCGATGCTGAAAGTCCTCCATCGAACCAGCCACCTTCACAACCACTGCATCTCCTGTTTTGAAGTCAAATCTCTTTGCAAAGTGGCAGGGTGGAAAAACCTTGCAATCATAGAATCCTAGAATGGTTTGGGTTGGGAGGGACCTTAAAGATCATCTGTTTCCAGCCCCCCTGCCATGAGCAGGGACATCTACCACCAGCCCAGGGTGCTCAGAGCTCCATCCAACCTGGCCTTGAACCCTGCCAGGGAGGGGCCAGCCACAGCTTCTCTGGGCAGCCTGGGCCAGTGTTTCACCACCTTCCTAGGGAAGAATTTCTTCCCAATATCTCATCTAAATCTGCCCTCTTTTAGCTTAGAGCCGTTCCCCCTTGTCCTATCACTACACCCTTTGTGAAAAGCCCCTCTCCATCCTTCCTGTAGCCCCTCCAGGCACGGGCAGCTGCTCTAAGGTCCCCTCTCAGCCTTCTCCTCTCCAGGCTGAC